AGAGAGAGAGAGAGAGAGAGAGAGAGAGAGAGAGAGAGAGAGAGAGAGAGAGAGAGAAAGAGAGTGAGAGTCGGAGCTCTATAAGGTGATTTACTTACACACACAGCTATATCGTATTGCCGGGACAAAGAGCCGATATCAACACGACGACTAAAACAACTCTGATAACGTATTACAATCGTATATATCACACTCGGGCGGCCTCGCGGCACCCGCGAAACAAAAAAAGTGAATTCTCTCGCGTCCGATTTCTCTAGACGGAGAAAAGATCGTCCTCCCTTCGTGATATATCGATCTACGTGAGCTATTTTTCGACTTTGTCCTAAACTAGCTTGATAAGAGAGGAGAAACGTGCGATTAGAGAAAAAAAAGGAAAAAAAAATGTGAAATCCTCTCCGCAGAAAGGCGGACTAAGTGTCTAAAGGCTCGTATATATATGTACGTGTATGTGGGTGTAGGTGTGATTATAAGTACGTGTGTGTATGTGTATTTGAATTAACGTTCTATCGGATTTACTTTTCTAACGTGATAAGTGCCTAAGTGATATAAATAGACTAAAGTGTGTTGCCGTATAATCTCGTCGTACGCGCAACAGCCATCGCCTCGTGTTAAATTTTCACACGTTCGTAATTACTTTTTGTTCCCACGGAATGTCTCGCATCAATGGCCTAAATTTTACACGATCTTAGGTCTCGAGAAATATATAAACACGTATAATTCCAACATATTACATAATAATACATTATGCTTTTTTATTTTATGGATGTTTCTGTGTCATCGAGATAATGATGGCCGTCTCGCTACGATCACAAGAGTGTGATGTGGTCATATTAGTTGGAAACAAAAAGCTACTTTACACAAACTAAAGATAGACTGAGAAAAGAATCGTACACATGTGACGAGTGATAAGAAAAATCGTGTGCGGTGTTAATTGTTTGGTAAAAAAAAGAAACACGTACCAGAGGCACACTAACAAGCTGTATAATGCAGTCTTATCGTTTTATAATTTATATTTACAATTTATATTTATAATTTATATTTATAATTTATTATTTACAATTAAAAACGAGAATAATGGATTTACGATTTTGTTAGACAAAGTATTTTGCACAGGGATTATAAGTGTCTAAAGTATATTTTAGAGAAAAGGAGACAGAAAGATACAGGGAGCAAACTCGAAGGCGCAATGCACCGTGCGTGCAACTCACGAGAGGTCGTAGTGTGCCCTTGGATAACACGTATGAAAAGTGAAGTAGAAAAAAGATTGAACGGTGAAGAGTATTATTTCATAAAAGAGTGAAGCGTCGAACTGCAAAAGTTTCTCTTTCTCTTCGACACGAATGTTAACACTTGATACATGCGAAAGATGTCGGAATGGGGATCACGATGGGAAAAGAAACTTTTGCAGTACGGGCTCGATGCGAAACGAGACACGATTGTGGCTGTGTGTGTGTGTGTGTGTGTGTGAGTGTTAGAGAATTGAAACATAAACGTATAGCCAAACATAAGACGAAACAGTGTTGAGAAGATAATAAGAGTAAGAGTAAGTACTACCGCCTGGGCTGCAGGACTTTGCCCAGCATTATCGTTATCGATAAGATCGTTATCGTTCTGGAAAATAAAGAGAAAAGACACAAAGAGATGATTGAGAGTTGCAGTGGAACCTTCTGTTGCGGATATACTTAATAAAAGACAAAAGAAAAAGAAGAATCAATTCGATCAATGATAAATCAACTCTCGCTGTCACGCGATCGCTATTCTTTAGTCGTCACATCATGTCAATGCGTTCACAATCGCTCAAGGATTCTCGTGTTCATTCTGCCCCGGCGTATTTTCTAAACGGTCAAACTACGAATTAATTCGAATGTGTCTATCTCTATCGGGAACTATATCTATCCTACACTCGCGAAAGTTTCGGACCACGACACTAAATTTCGGGCGTCCGCTATGAGACTACGTGGTATCACCGGAAAAGATTCTCTCTATTCGAGACTCGACTCGACGCGTGTGAGATGTCCTACCACGAAGAAGCCAACGACAAACATTCATTTGAACTTCATTCTCAAGTCGAGACCCCGCCGTTTCGAGCATCCGAGCCGCTTCTTTCGCAGTTAAAAACAGACAAATTCGGGAGGACCCATTTTTTAGGGTCCTCTAGCGTATAAATCGACTTTCATGCCAAATTTAATTTCAGTAAGTTGATTGAAGCGACCAGAGGAGAAGCCAATCGGAGATCGAACGGGACGGTCGTGTTTTAAGATTCTCGAAGAAACTTAATGGCAACATGTGACTAAGATCTCTTATTATTTTTACAAAGAAGAATATTCGGATTTTGCTCAACGGAAGACTCACCTGTCCAGCAGACTCTATCTGACCAAACCTCGTCGTCTTCCAACTTTCGAGTATCAGAAGGCAGACGTATATCTTACCCACGGTGAGCTTGCCTTTGTTCAATTCTGCAATGATAAAAGTCGCGATTGAAAACATCGCTGTGTGAATCTCCTCGAGCGAGAGAAGAGCAAGAGAGAGCTCACCCTCGTTCCTAGGTATCAAAAGGTCCAACATCTTTTTCGCTTGTAAAGGCCAAATACTCCTGATCGTGTCCCGCAATTCTTCATTGGCTTGATTCATTTCGTCGGCTGAAACAAGTGGAAAACTGGAATTACTAATTACTCGCCCAACACTCTTAACTAATCGCTGAAATAACTCTAAGACTTTGATAGAAAAAATTGACGAAAGTAAAAGACATAAAATTAATCAATGAAAAATATTCGTGAAATAATGATGGTTCTCAGTGAGTCAAAAACGCGACAGATTTTCGCGACAGTACGTGTGCGCTCACCGCATCGCATTTTTATGCTGAGGTTTTCGCGTATCAGGGCGAACAGCGTGGTGCTGAAGTTGACCTTGCCGTCACCGTCCACCGGCATATTCATCCTGATGAGCTTCTTGTACGCCAGCCGGTTCGGGCACTTGCCACCAAACCCCAATGGCGGGTCCATGTTCTTCAGCATATCATATATCTCCGTGTAGTGGATCTTGCCGGTGGCGTTTGGATCGTATTCGGACCAGACCCTGACGAACTCGTCGAGATGGTGAGCGCCCAAGATCGACGAGTCGCGGGTGAGGTAATCGAAGTTGTCCATGATGACGGCGACGAAGAGATTCAGCATGAGGAACGAGCAGAAGAAGATGAAGGTCACGAAGTAGACGTAGGCGATATTGGAGCCGCAACTGTCCGGATCATTCGCCTTGTCGGCCTTGATGTCGCAGGACCGGCCCTTTATGCAGGACAGCATGATGTTTGGCCAGGCCTCACCCGTTGCGCACCTGAGATGGAATCGCACGGTGGATTGAGGACAGAGTGCCGACACACTCCGCCGTCTCGCCGTAAGTCGATCGGGACGAGAGAGCTGCGAGTGCTTTGGCGAGTGCATCGCTCGCGCCGTAAGCCGCACTTGTAGCGCTACATCGTTTCGCAGGTGACATGCAGACCTTTCAGCTTTCGCAAAGCGGGTTTGACACGCGGCGAGATCGTTCATCATGGGCGTTTTTACTGTGGAAGGTAGCCGTCGTCTTCTTCATCGTCGCACTCGGACGGAACAGACGGCCCGAGGGAACTGATCGCGACTGGATTCGCCGTCTCGCGAACGTTTGTTCTTCTTGAGCAGAGACGAGAGGGAGAGAAAGAGAGAGAAAAAGAGGACTTTGCTGCGCCCCGTGAACGATCGCGCACACTTGTGCTCGCAATTCAGCGATGCGCCGCAGTCGCATAAAGAGAAAATCAGCCCGCAGAACTCATGCACGAGACCCAACGCTCTACGCAACACCAAAAGCGACCTAGGTACTGCGAACTCAATGCGGCGAACTCAATTCTATACGAGGCTACTGGTGTAAACTGTTGTGTTTGCGCTATGTATATAATATTATATAATTATGCCGTGTATAATTTAGCCTGTGAGTGAGTTTGCCTTTGTGCTGGATCGAGAGTGCCAAGTCCCAAAGTTTCATAATAATAGGTGATTATATCGAAGCGAAAAGGCCTGCTGTGTGAGAATACGCCCGGAAATAATATGACTTAAGCGATTCGGAGACTCCGCGGTGTCATCGTAATTGCGACGTTCGTTGCGAGAGCGGCACAGCTCGAACCGAAAAAATCATTTCTCTTCAGAGAAGAAATAATCACAAGAAAAAATACCGAATTTATAACATTACTGAGAGAAAAATTATATTAAAATCAACAAATATTTCTTCGATGTGGTGCCATTAACATATTTACTTAAATCTACATTCTCTTTATTTAAATCAAATATTGTTTATTTAAATCAGGTAAACAATATTTGCTTTAAATAAAAAGAATGTAGATTTAAGTAAATATGTTAATAACACCCATCAAAGAAATATTTGTTGATTTTAATATAATTTTTCTCTCAGTGTGCCATCTTGAGGCTGCGTCCTTCTAAACAGCGCGCCAAAACTTTTAGAGTTCCGAACGAAACATTCGCAAAGAAATCAGACTTCCGGATCCCATTTCTCCACGTCTGCGTAAGAATCTACGTGAATGGGGTGCAAAATTTCACGCTGCTGCGAGAACGACATGCCACTCCCGACGCGAACGGCCCAATCGATCGATTACTCGTGGACGCGTGGACGCGTGAAGATCAGCCCGCTTTCGTCAGCGATGGTAACAAAATCGTGATAAAAGTAGCTGCTGCCGCGCGGGTGGCGGTGAGCGGTGAATACTCGTCCGATCGTTTTCGCGAGTCGCGCGAGTTGAGTCGGCGACCATGCCGGATGGCGGTGAACAGTTAGCTAGACTCGTGGCGTGTATTACTTACCGAAAAAGCAGCATCAGACCTTGAATGAAGCTTTGGAAATTGTTGTGCTTGGTAATAGAAGTCTCAGGATCCAGCGTGATGTTACCGAATACCTGAGACCCACAGAAAGAAGAGGGCCGCAGCCAAAAGGCGGGAGCGGCATTACAAAATTGCGTCACCAAGTGTCTCATCTTTTGTTTTTATATTTTGTGTATGTGTGTTTTTGTTTCTGTTTCCTTTTTTCTTTCTTTCTTTTCTCACTTTTTTTTTTAGTATCTTATATCAAGTTAAAAAGTAACGCTCGAACTCGAAATAATCGCAGTGTACTGCGCTTCCCCCCTCGGTGGGTGACTGGTATATATATATATCGTAGTTACTTCGAGTTTTCTCTGTATCGCATCGCGATCGCGCTTGTGTAATGATTTCATATTAATGATCATACAGTATCTTCGTGAACTTTCTAACTACAACCTCTCACACGTGAAACTTTCACTTCTCAACAAGTACGCGGTGCACTCGAGAGAGCTGAGGACTTGGCGAGATTAATTTCCAAATTGCAGCGACGGATTCTCTCCTCTGTCGATTAAAGAGATTTAATGAGGATTATCGCGCTTACGGCACTTGGATGTTTTACTGCTCGATAATTACATCTCTTTTCTTTTCTTTTTCTTTGTTACAATTAAACCTTTTCTTCACCGACGATTTCTCATTACGAACATTTCTCGCCGCGGAACTTTCTCGCGACGTGCAAAATCACGATTAACGTCACTGATATTCGTGATACGAAAGACAGCGAGTCAATTGACACTTCGACAACTCGTTCTCTCAAGTAGCACCTTGATTCCAAACTCTCTAACGCAGGCATCACTATATATAGATATGACTATATGTGGGAACGGTTCTCTATGGGGTTGTCTAATTGGGATGAGTCACAACAGATTAACACGTCGAGCAGCTTACTCTCGTTACAGCTCATGCCAACAAAGCAATAAGCTACCGCAGAGGTAATTCACGACGATCACGCTTTTACGTTGCGTTTAACTTCTCGTTCGACGACGCCTCCGCCCTACACGTCGCGCGGAACATCTTCAACGGTGCTTGGTTCGTTCGCTTTCGCCGTCGCAGAATCGGCGAATCGCAGAAGGGCGAGTGGTTTTGCATTATGAGCGTACTGCTTCAAATTTGGCGATCATTGATTAAATGAAATCGACTAACACACTGACTACTATGAGGAAATTAATTCACGCTCAAAGCGCGACTAATTGTACCCGATGAGCGAAATATCATAGTCAGCAGGGAGCTAAGAGAATGCAGCTGACGAATGTATGCGTCGGAAGATTTATTTCGGTCATTTGAATTTCAACTTTGGAAAAATCCATGAAAATCGCCGTGGCAGTCAGTAAGTAATTAGATCCGCCATGTCACACACAATAAACAATGAAGTCTAACGAAATGCTCTCCAGCGCACGCACAATGCGACGCGAAGAATAGACGAATGTCTGCCCGCATTCTCTCTGCGGCTTGCTTCCCTTCTGCGATTTCCACTGCGCGATGCATCGTGGAGGATCGCGACGACGGACCAGCCGTGCTCCGGAAGAGGTTTCTTTCGCGCACGAAGAGAACGCCGAGGAGGAGAAGAGGCTCTCCTCGAACGGAAGCGAGCAGAGAGATCAAGGAAGCTGCTCCCTTCGTACGCGAGGAGAACGATCGTCGGAGCAGCCGCTAGTTTTGGGCCGGAGGTAATCTCACACCGCCGTCGAACCAGCAGTACTCTAGCTGCTCGACTCACCGAAAAAGCAACATAAGACCGGCGAAGAAGGACTGAAAGTTGTTGTGATCATCGATCGCCGTTTCCGGATTGTTCATTATATTGCCAAAGACCTGACAACGGACAATTTCAGGGTCACTTAATGGCCAACGGGGGTCTGCCGTCACTTAAAATTCCCAATCTGCAAGGTCGCGCGAGGCAGAAGGTATCACGAGTTCGTCGACAACGCCGTTTCTCCCGACTCGAAACTGCGATCGTTACAAACGGCTCTCGTCGCTCTCGGCATAATAATCAAATCAGACCAGATGACGTGTGATCTCTTGTGAATTAAGCGTCGATCTTGAGGATCATCGTACGATCATCGTGTGAACTTTTGAATCAATCGGATAACATCGCGGTCTTTCTCCCGTGAAAGATCTCTCCTCGTGTGTAAAACTCGAAAGTTTGTGTATGTGATAAATCAATTTTTGCGTGTGTGACAGATTAAACACGATAGAATATAATAGTCAGCGCGTATTCCCTCCTTCTTTCGAGTGAAAACGGCTGTGTGCGAATTATTGACTTGCGATTTCGCTCGACGTTCTTCTACTGTTATTGACCAATTAGTCTCCTGAATAATTACGCTGCTTCAATCCCGCACCCTACCGTTTGTCATCCCCCGAAATGCGCGAATTAACGAACTTACATGAGTTCGGAAATATACATTGTGAGGAAAGATTCATACCTGCATACCGATGATCGCGTAAATGAAGAACAGCATCGCTATGAGGAGACAAACGTAAGGCAGAGCCTGGAAGAAACAAATATCTTTATCATTTACTCTCACCACAAGACGATTAAAGTGTTCCGCGGAGACTGATATAACGAACTATCATTAATTTACAATACTGAGAACGACTGAAAAAGAATCGCTTACTTTGAAGGATTGCACGAATGTCCAGAGTAAAATTCGTATCGTATATCCCTGCCTGAGTAGTTTGATCAGCCTGGCGGCGCGAAAGAGCCTGAGGAAGCCGACGTTGATGAAGTTCTCCTGCAGGGGACAGAGGAAATTACACTTAAATCCCAGAAAATGCCGATAACTCATTGCGACCAGGATGAAGCTTCGTGCGTGCAGCGTTTCGACGTTGCGAGCCACACGTCGACGAAGGACACCCGTCCTCCGGACGTGCCTTTTCGAACCTCGGCGATGCACGAACGAAGCTACGCCGAACAACGAATTTTCTCGCGCGATATGCGTATTACGTATGTACATACATGTTCTCTCTCGCTAAAATCACGGCTACGCATTCGTCACGCTGAGACCGAAGAGGATCTTACGCGAAGAAAAAAGCAAAATCACGCTACCGAAAGGAAAGATGTAATTGAGATAGAAATAATCGACAACTAATAATCAGTATATCCCATCGTGTATACGCTCTATGGGAATGAAAGAAAAGACTCGCTTGACGATGAACTAACTGTATCTCTGTGTTGTTAGTGGATCAAGCTGACGATTTTGTCAAAGACCGGTCCCGTCAGCGCGAATTATTCATTCAATTCGATCGATTTTCGCGCGCGCGTCAGATTACTCTTAAATCGCAATAGACCGGCCGACGACTCTTCAGCTCGCTTACACCAAGGACGGGATCGCGTTCGATTGCAGACAGTGCAATCGCGCCGTTCCGAGCGATAATTGGGTTACTCTCGTCGCTCGATCGCGGTGTGATATTACGTGACACGTGAACAACGTTAAACCCTTTTGCTGTGACGGCCGAATCTGATGGTCGCTATCGCTACCATGAAGTAGATGATCGGTATGCCGAGATCGAGATGGAATTAGACACACCGCATCCATATGCCATCGAGGTGTAGTCTGTAGTGTGACTACAGTGTGCGACTATCTGGACTGGTGGTGTCGGTGTTGTAAGATGTTCCGCACTGTTGTCGTGTCATGTACGAATAGTTTCATGTATCCAAAAAAGTGCATGCACAGGATAAGTAAACGGGATATAACGGTGAATTGATCTAGTCATGAATCGGGAAGACTCTCGAGAATGTAAAGTAACGCCACGCGTTATCCTCGTATCCGAACGCGGCTCTTCTTCGCTTTTGCGAACTGTTGCAAATAGAAGTCGCGTCGCGCGACCTCGGTCGGTCGGCAATTTTGCATGCAACTATCTCATAACTTGAAATATTTCACTCGGATACTTTGCATCTTGAACAATTCTGACTATAATCTGTAGAATATTAATTAGAATAATCTGTGGATAAGTCTCGTAATTTTTTCTCGACAGCCAGGCAAAGGCTCGTCTTTGATCTTTCTCTCTTTGTGCAAACAGTGAGCTCTCGGAGCTCTTGAATCGTAATATCTGCAATTCCGTTACTTGCAATATCGTCGTTATCGTGATAACTTGCTTTAACTTACGTCGTCAAACGTAAATATCGTATAATGTTATACCTTCTTTTCGCCTGACTGGCCACCACCGGTGAGCACGCCAAAAACCCGCTCCTATTACAGAAATATGCGACATTGCAAGATTATTCCGTTCCGCAGGATTGAAGCCCGCGCGGCTTCAAACATCTGATCGTTCAACTTTTGGCGATTACAATATACGAGCAGAAATACTAACGGCTGGCAATAAATGAACACTGGCGATGAGTATAACTTTTGTAAAAGCAGCCCACTTTCAAATATATAGGTCGGACTCAAAGTGTCCGCTTTACGATAACTCTAACTATTGTCTTACCTGTGCATATACATACTTCTGAGACGTATCTCTTTGTATATCAAGGTCGTTTTGCAAACACAAGCAACAAATATACAAATTTCGCCACAGACTTTTTTACTATATAGACATTATCCTGAGATATATTCGTACTTCATATATAATTATTCATATATAATATATATACATATATTTTTTTACTAGACTGTAACTGCTACGTTAGTGAGATTGGAGTAATCAATGTCATTGTGATTTGACGAGCGGAAGGGCGAGCATCCTGCGCGATGGACTCGCTCCTTTTGCCACTTCCAAATCAGAACGGACATCGATCGATCTAGTTACAAGACATCGATACAATTCTCTCTTTTTCAGGCTAAGAGGGAGAATGTTTTCTAAGGACAGGGTCGGGGTGTATCTAAGGGACGAGGGGTGCGCGTGTTCTCATGTATATGTATATATCCGTGGCTGACGGAGTTTCAACTATACTGGCGTAAATGTATACCTGTGCGAATGTGGCGATGTACAGTGTAATGTGTAGCGTATGAATGCAGCACGAAGCTAAAGAGATACACAAGGACTGTGGGGTAACTCCGATCGGCCGGTAATTTTACCTGCTATATAGCTTGTCACACGGTTACACGCCGAAATCTAAGTAAGCAGCAAAAGGGTTAAACGAAAGGTAATGCTCAAAGGTAATACACATCAAGCAACACTGCCGCGACAATTAAGGCCGCTATTCTGGTAGTAGATGCGTGTCCTGACGAAAAACACACGTCTGGACGAGGCTCGCCTCCGACTCGCGGGAGAATCACTTCCGATACGTCCAAGCGATTCGGGACACAGAGTCACGTGGCTAAATCACGGGAGATCAAAAAACTTAATTAAGAACCGAAATTGATCTTTTCAACGATGATTTAAAATGACTGCATGGTACCCTTCAGAGCGGGATTCTCTTCTTTTCAATATGATAGACTTCTTTTTGCTCCTTATATATATTGCTATTTTCTTTGAGGAATTTTGAAAAGTTTTGAAAAGAATACAAAATATACCTGATTTATACTTGCTATAAGTTAAAGATAATACAATAATTTAAGTAAATCAAAAGGAATTTGATATTTTACCACGAAACTTTTGTGAGCATACTCTTAAGGGGTTAAACAGTCTCAAAAAGTCTCAAGAGAAGCAATACGCGAAATTTATAATTATCATTCACGCGACCACAGTTTGCAAAATGAAACGCGAATGCGAGTCAACGTATCAGATCGGTTGCCTCGACGTTCGGCGCGACGGCCTCGTCACGATGATTCTTCGTCAGAAGGAGCAACTATCGTAATCACAGCCTAGTCTCGGGTTTCCTGAGGTCTCCGATTACAATGTGCATATATAGATATACCTGGAAGAGTTCTATTACGGGTTCAGTAGCTAGAGCGCAATTAAACACTTATACTCTCTTGCCGCGCTACTTTTCGGTGCTCTACGTACCCCGAACTCGATCACAAGGGCGTCTATGATGCTACCGATCACCGTGATGAAGTCGAACATGTTCCAGTAGTCCTTGAAGAAGTTCTGCTCGCGGGAACAGTCGAAAGAATCGATTAGCATGTGATCTCCCGTTGCTGGTATGTTATATATAGATATATATATGTACATATTTTTTTTTCTTTTCGACTCTACCACCCGGAAGCTCGCTAAACAGCCCCGATCGGCATTTCCCATCGCCACGAATGCGGATGAGAACTCTAATCGTCTGTCAACACGATTTCGTACACGAGCAACCGGAATCAAGGCCAAGACACCATGAAGAATAAGAATCGAAGATCGGGCAAAACTAAAAGAGATGGTCGCGCGCGAAATAGAATGTACAAGTGAAAAGACGAATTGTTATTACGTGAAACGCGCGAATGAAGCGGATAGTAATTTTCAGGGTATTGTGCTGTCTGTTCCAAATTTTTCGTATAGTGAAAAAATATCGAGATGACTAAATAACTTTAAATGATATTTCTCGAAAACCGCGCCGATATATCTCGGAAACGATTCTTCGAAATCTTTCTCCGTCGTGTGTAATTAACATCTCGTCGCGTCGCTTACCTGGTTGACGCTGTTTCAGTCGGGCTCACGCTGTAATTAGGCTCAGATAATGAAAGAGTTAAAAGAGGGATATGTCGAAGTGTGGAATGTACATTCCTAAATGTTATCAACGACAGTGTGACTGAGCAAGCAACTTGTTGTCTCGTGGATTTTTGAATAATCTTATTCCTCATGTTGTGTCTTGTCTTGTATTGCTCGAGTTTTCGCGAGCGAGCAGACAATCCGAAAGGATAGTTCGCGTGTCCCGGTGATCTGTTGAACGAACTTGGGTGTAGTTCCAGTGTGTGAGTTTTGCATAACTACCGCTAAAGAAGAAACTACAAGTTCGAGAGATAAGAAAGATACAGTACGATCTGCTTCTCTCTCTATGAATGTACGCTATTGAATGTGTATTTATATGTGTGTACGTGTGTGTGTGTGTGTGTGTGTGTGTGTGTGTGTGTGTGTGTGTGTGTGTGTGTGTGTGTGTGTGTGTGTGTGTGTGTGTGTGTGTGTGTGTGTGTGTGTGTGTGTGTGTGTGTGTGTGTGTGTGTGTGTGTTTGTGGTTTGTACGTCCTTATGTGTCGTATACATGTTAGTTTGTGAGCACTCCTATATGGACTTAATTATCGAGATTCTGTAATGTGTGGTTTGTTGAACGATGCTTCTGAATGTTATATCGTGATTTTATCGGCCAGATCTCTTTGCCGTGAAATAATCAGCATGGATTTTCAAAGGATATATTTGCAATTTAATTAATACCGACCGGGCATTCGCGGCATTTTACTTCATTAATCTTTGGCTTATCTTCGGATATGCAGACAATTATTACGGTCACTGAAAGCGATTGAGCCGTTTGTAACGAAAGTAACAAAGTGTGAAAGATTATATGTCTATATCTACACAAATTGTTCTTATTTACGACGTATTTAATATTTTAAAAATTCAATTGATTGATAACTTTCACATTATTTTAATTTTTTAAGGAACGAAATTTTGTCGTTTACAAACTATTGTCTATCGCAATATAAAAGTGTTTACTATGTGCTCGACTCGAAATACTTGCAGCAGATTCACTAGGACAAAGAGATCGGCGCGCGTGAGTTTTCTTTAAAGCGTTTACCCATGTCGTACGCTTTGGTGATCGATGATCGGCTGAAGTATAAGTGACGGGATCTCTTCTAAAGAAGTATCTACGGGAGCATGCCGGTAATATAGCAAGCAAACTAGAGAGAGAGAGAGAGAGAGAGAGAGGTAGAGACACGCGAATTTGCACTTAATTTTTTTTTTAATTTTTGCCAGAAAAAAGGAACTGTCACAAACAATATAATTAACATTCATAAACAATGATAAAGTGCAATCAAACTAATTATTTAATTTTCACAACTTATAAATTTGTCACTGACAAGTTTATTCTTTGATTTGGAGATGGTCCTTTTTCGAAAAAAATTTTTCTTTCTAAATTTTTTTAGTTGACAATATTGAATACTTTAATAATTATTGAGTATCTTATTTTACAAATTGAAAAATTTCAGATAAATATTTTGAAAGAACTCTCTTGAAATTAATAAAAAATCAAACTTTTACTGTCTATTCATTTTCTTAAATCGCAATGTTGTTTAAAAATCTTTTGTTTATCAATATCTTAATTACTTAGAAAGAAAAAATATAACGAAATAAGAACATTCAAGTTATTGTAGTTTGATTAATGACAAGGTCCTGTTTTCTGATAATTTTATCACATTTCAAACAATTGTACAGAATTCTTTAAGAATATCGCGCTAAAAGTTAATCGCGAATGCATCTTTCATTAGCGATTGGCGAGTAGATTCGCGGTGTCTCGTTGCACTCCTTCCTGCGGTTCCTCTCGCCAGTTTTCGGGATCCCCACTTTCTTCACGTGAATCCGTCCGACCGTAAAAAGTCACGATCAACGATGACCGAGATGAGTCGTGTCAGTCGGCGTAGATACGGTGATATTATAATTGGCAGAGTGTGAGTCGAGTGAGAGTGGAGTTTAGAGCGATTAAGAGGCTTGTTTATACCTTGCATCCGAAGGCGATGACTTTAAGGATGCACTCAATGAGGAAAAGGAGGGTGACGACGAAGTTCACGATGCTCAAGAAGTCCAAATATACTGGCGACGCGTTGTGATACTACAAAATACACCCAACACACAGACGTAACACAACCCAGACTCTATAGGACGCTTCAGAAAGATGTTAAGACTTGTATGGAAGTAACCTTTTTAGAGAAACAAATCTGATAACGTAAGACACCGTAGTGTCAAACAAATATATTTTATCTTCAAAGAGTCTCCACTTGTTCATCACATTGTCAACGCATTCTTGGAATCTCCTCCAGGTGGTCTTCAGAGCCTTGAGGTACATTTCTGTGGGTACTGTTGCAATAAGACTTACAATGTTCTATCGGGGACCTTGCACATTACGTAGTTTCATAGTATAAACACGTTCTTTTATCATCTGAAGAACGTGCTAGCCACGCCATAGCAAAAAAGTTACTTCCATATAAATATCAACATTTTTTTGAAGCACTCTGTATATTCCGTTGTGTGCGCCTTGCATATTACATTTATCTTCCCTCATTCGCTTACGATCATTAGTAAGCCTCTCTCTATTCGATCGCTTTTTCTTCGTCTACTTCGCGTCCAAGTAGAGCATCGTTATTTGCAACGGAGAAATTTATCCTCTTGCAAAATAAAATAATCATCGTTAAACAAAATTTACAGTACACAGAAAGACAAACTTCCCGATTGCTTCATCATCTGTTTATCTTTCGGATTATTTTATCAAATGGCAGCATTGTCTTCATGTTGTCTTCATATTAATCGTTGTATCAGACAGGTAACAAACAATAAAATGAATCCACATCGGTAAAATGAGTTCTCTCAACGCGATTCGTTACTTTTATCACTTCTATCGTATCGCGAAATATGTAAATTTCCAGCGTATTATACCAAAAGAGAATTCTTTCGACGTGAGTAATGTTACTGTTATATTGTTTACCGCAAAAACACAACATCACTTTCGACCAAACCAATCTCGTTAAGTAAGCGGACTAGGATCCCCCTATTTTTCTTTAAACATGATAGCGTGTCCTCTCCCAGATTACCAAGCAAATCTAACCAATCTCTCACAGGATGATTTCTCAAGAGACTCGTTGGCTACGTGTGTACGTAACTCTCTCGATCGGTGTGTTCGTAGAACGATGTTCAATTCGTGTGTGCTGAGTGTGTGCTCGTGTGAGGCAGAAACGGAAGTTTATGCTCTTTCTCATAAAACAACGACATGCGTGCGACGACGAGCGAGGAGTACGCGCGCGCTCGCGGTTCTCCTCGGCTTTCGTCTCTTTATGATCGCTGTGGATTATATCGTCATTGTCATCGTCGTCGTCATCATCGTCGTCATCACCATTATCACCATCATTATCGTTGTCATCATCATTATCATCATCACCACCACCATTGTCATCGCCACCCACCGTCATTCCCGGCCCACAACACGCAGTCATAGTAATCGTGATGTACGCATGCGAGGATCAAAAACATGTCACCGTGCAGTGATGCGTGCGGATGCATATCAAGGCGGGCAAGGCATGCAGAGGGATGTCAAGATAACGGAGCTTCCTGGGTTACTTTCTGTACACCTTTCTGGTACACACTCGAGACTTCCTCTTGGGTTTTATTCCCCGCCCGTTCTGGGTTCTCGGTTAGAAAGTATTCGGAAACCAAAAACCGACGAGCCGAAATGGAGCACATAGGAAGACAGAAAGAGAAAATGAGAGAAAGAGAGAGAAAGAAAGAATAGAGAAAGAGGAAGAGACAGATAGATAGAAAAGACAGAAATAGAGAGAGAGGGAAAGAGAAAGAGAAAAGGGTAAGAGAGTGAGGGTAAAAGAGAGAGAGAGAGAGAGAGAGAGAGAGAGA